AGCTTAATCGGTTGCCTGGAAGTGGGTCTTAATTCAGTTTGCAAGATTCCACCCATACAAATATGAGCCAGTCGTTGTAATATGACGTCACGCGCATAAAATGGCGGGCCGGTCGCCTCCCGCACTTTTAAAATTCAATATCTTGGAAATTAATTAACGTATCGAAATAATTCTTTCACGTGTATTTTTTATTTTTAACAGAGAATACAGAAAGCTAAAAAACAAAATTAGTGAACATTCTTCATTACGCGCGAGCGATAAGGATGGGTAGCTTGGGGTCATTGGACAAAATTCTTTGTGCTAGGTGACCGGACTACATACCAATAGCCTTGTCGTATTATAACCGTCATTATAGTTCGTTTCATCCACTCGGGCGCGCCCCAGCAATGTGTGGTCCCGGTCGCGCGGGCGCGGGGAGTGTGGTCCGAGCAATCCGTAAGAGTAGGCGCACACCGTTGATTTTTCGTCGGCCGATAGTTTAGTCGGGCAGTTGATCAGTATGGGCATGTATGGAAGAGCGCACACTACGCCGATTCGATTTGGCCGATTTTTCATACAAATTAAAATCGGGCACAACTATCGGCCAACTAAAAATCAACGGTGTGCGCCTACTTTAAGGCATTATTGTAGTGTGCGTGTGCACTCATGGAGCATTTAGCGTGTGCCGATAACACTCTAACATTCGCGGAAGAATGGTGGAGCGCGTCCGAGTGGATGAAACGATCTGTACTTTATTTCAACTAACTTACTACCATTGTGTCTGGTCTGCTTATGAGAAGCGACTTAACCTTATTGAAAACCAATATAAAAAGGGAAGGTACATAAATGGCCAAAAGAACTCAGAATAGGATAGGATATAATCTAAAAACCGAGCGTACTGCATAGTATAGTAATCCTGTTATAATTAATATATTTCTAATATTGTAAAAACTGGTAAAAATCTCAAATAACTCATGATTTTTCATACAAACTTTGTCAGTCTATAACTTCTACAGGGTGTTAGGTAAATGGGTATATGAGCCGACACTAGCCCATGTTAACATCTGCATATAAATGGTATGGTAAAGTCAGAAAATTGATATTATGATTTAAATTATTTTTATTTTCATACAAATCTGATTTTATAAATTTTATTTTGTATGAACATTTAAAAAATTAAAATCATGATATCAAATTTCTGACTTCACCATACCGTTTATATGCATATGTTAACATGGGCTAGTGTCGGCTCATATACCCATTTACCTAACACCCTGTATACCCCATTTTTCATTCGACATTGATCTTTCAGTGGGGTAAAATCTGCTTTGTAATAAAACTACCCATTTATTCCCAATCCGAATGATTTCAGGGTGTTTCTTGGACTATCTCATTTTTCCATAAAATGTCTATACAGTTTATCTATTTCTGTGTAAAACACAAATGGAAATCGAATAATCCTCTGATTTGTAAAAAAAAACTTGATTTGAACGTAACGTGTCTCTTTGTTGTCGTATGGCACTATTCTAATTATTTGACTTTAAGGTATAAATAAACGAATGAAATTAGTTGTAAATCAAAAATCAATGTGATACAACTTAACGATACATTTTAATCGAAATGAACTTACATGCTCTAAATTAATATCAGATGTACGGACAACGGCTTTCGAGGTGTCACCCGTATTCACAAACATTACTATGAGGTCTCACAGTGCGCGTGGACGCACAGGGTAACACGAACCAATCACAGAGCTCTATTCAACGCTGTGCGTTCGATTTGCTGCTTCGCTTAAGCAAGCATCGCGTTTGTGAATACGGGCGTAAGTTAAAGTAAGTTTTTTTGGTCAACACAAACTTATTATAATTGTAGCAAATATTTATTTGTTAAAATGTGTTTGTGTAGTATTTACACTTGCTTTTTCGATGGATGGTAAACGATCAAAAAATAGAAATAAATGTTGGCTTGGACTGAAAGTTTATACACAATCTTTACATAGCTTTTGGAGCAAACTTATTAATAGAGTTGGAAAGATATTCCATGAATTTGCTCCATAGGCTTTGGAGCGAGCTTATTAAGAGCCATTTTACATTTTCGTGCGAATTTCTAAGATTTTGGAAGCATGAATTACTATCTTAAGCAACACCCAGAGATTATTTAATAACTGCGAAAGACAGGTCAATCCTTGGTGTTGACCATTAATGAAACGGATTTACTAAAACTCTTTTGCTTAATTCACAGTGCCCCATCTCCCACAACCATTTTACGGAAAAATTGCCGCAGACTCATTTTCAAAGTCCTGTATCTATTATTTATGCTCATATAATAAGCTTAAAAATATATAGTAATCATCGGACATATATTCTTGTAGTCCATTAATGAAATAGATTCTTGAATTTCATTACCATTATTGAGTAAAATCTAAAAATAATTTGGCAAATTTGAAGATTAACGTCACATTTTGATCGTGGTTTTTGGTTTAAAAACACAGCAATAACTGCAATAAAAGTATCCCAAAATAAAGAATATTCATTGTAGAATTGATTTCTACAGTTATTGTTTAAATATTAGTAACCACTTTGTCAAAATATTGATGTGAATATCAGTATAAATTACAATACGCAAGCCGACATCGATTAGTATGGCGCGAGCGCCCGTCAAGGCAGGACCTGTGTCATTTTTCCCGCCGTGACGTTTACGTGCGTTCGTGTCGTAAAGCGAAGTAAGATAGTAAGATGAATTATTTTAGTTATTTGTTTACTTATAATAATATTTATTTATTTATTTCTTAGCTCTGTCTGATAATGGATCTGGAGGAGATGCAATGGCCACCTCCGTAACAAAACAATAGAACCCTATGGAGTTTGGGCTTGTGTGATTCGCCTTGACGAATAGTTCGTATCCAGGGTCCGATGATGGAGCTGTAAGGGGGCAGATTTTTTTTTCACTACGTGACTGTCTTTATTTTGTACTTAATATATATTTTACATATTATACCTATTCGTGTTTCATTATGAATCGAAATATAAAAGACTTAATAAACTCTATTAAAAATTTAAATTAATTTATCAAGTTTGAATACCTACCTCATTCTACCTTAAAATTAATAACTTAAATCAAGTCTTAATACGGTCACGGCTCAAGATTTTTTTGTCCATTTCAGCGTTCTTTTTACTCTTTTGACGTTGCGTTGACAGCTTTTACCTAAATTCGCGCGGAATATTTTTGTGAAATGGCTCTTAAGCTAGAAAGATGTTCCAAATATTGGATTGTGATGACGCAAGGAATTGTGTCGTAGAATGTACTACGATTTTATATTTAGGCTAATGAGTGTAAAAATGAACTGCGAGTAAATATAAGACATAATTTTATCATTATTGTATTTTATTCTGTAGGTTAATAATGATGGCTTTATTCCCTAACGTCCTACTATGCCCCGTGCTAATATGTAATTTAATAAAAACAAATGTATTGAATTAAAAACTCAGTGACTCATTTGAGCCACAAAAAAATAATATTTGTAACTGTTGGCGCTTCTCGATCGATGTCGATGAAGCCCGAGGACCCGAGAAGCGCCAACAGTAACAGTTTTTTTTATTACATACCTGTGCGGTTTCATGCTTCTTTTCGAGAACTTTCGATATGTGGGTATGTCTGATAAATGTACATATTCGAACAGAAAAAGAGGGTAGTTCGGCAGTTTGACATTATTTGCATTGTTCAGTTCGGCTCAGGACATCTTATCGATAGGACGTCTCTGCACACGGCTCGTTTAATTTTGTGATATCAACATATTTCTCGTTTTGCAATGTGTGTTTTTTTATTGATAAAATCGGTGTCTTGAAGTCAAGTACCTAGTGTTATTGTAGAATTGATATTAATTAACTGAAATACAATACATTTAAAGCAAATTCTTCGTTTAATTCAACTTCGTAATACTATTTTTTCAATTCGGGGCACTAATATTTAACAAGAATAGTGAGGAAGTATCATGGACTGTATGGAATTTGTGACCTTAATTTCAAAAAGCTCGCCGAAAAGGTAGTAAAGATTATTTCCCTATTTTGGCAGTTTATGTTAGTTTAAAACATTTATTTAATTGGATGATACGATATCTTATTTACAGATAACTGCATCAATATGTTAAATGAAAAACATATTTGCTTTTTGATAAACGTTTATTGATTTTAACACTAGCTATCATAAATAGATGTTTACGGCTTTGCACTATTGAAACAAAACAATAAATTACTGCATAAAAAACAGGGTAGAAAGAAAATAATAAAAAATTAAGGTTTCTATTAGATACTATTTAATCCAAACGTAATATATTACAATAATGTACAGCCATTTGCTATTGAGTCGCTTACAAGCTAAAACCGGTTGCAACCAGTTTTTTACCGGCTATTTTAATTTTTAACGTTACCGTTTACCGGTAATAAGGTGTTTGAGTGTTGATTTAATAAAATAGAAACGTTACTATTACTTGATATTATTTCATTTATACCGTGACCTTTAGTTTTTCACATGTTTTTTTTTCATCCATTATGTTCAAATATGCGAACATCAGGCCTCCCCAACCCGTCTGGCCAGTGTGGGGAGTGTAGGACAAATCCTCCATTTGTAAATTAGAGGGTCGTGCTCCTGTTTTGGAGACTAAATGACCTGATGATATAAAGATTTTAACAACTCCTGTGTAGTCAGGATCTACAAATGAGCCACCAAAAACACAACCAGAGAGGTCAAGTTTGTCCTAAGGGAAAGTTAAACTGTCATTGGACCAGCAACGAAATTAATTAAAGCCCGGTCCGTGAGCACGTAGAATTTTGTCCAATGACCCCAAGCTACCCATCCTGTATATTGCTGTCGCGATTGTGCGCGCCCGCAGTGAGTGTGCGAGCGCGACAGCAACATAATTACGCGCGAGCGATAAGGATGAGTAGCTTGGGGTCATTGGACAAAATTCTACGTGCTCACAGACCAGACTATAGTTATGAACGTTTTTTTATCACTGCTTTTCAACAAAAATGCCTCATAATTTCCACTAAATCAACACCCAAACAAAACCTGTTTTCTGGTTACCAAAACCGGTTCATCGGTCGATTTCTCCGAACACGACGTCCAGGGTTCCGATAATGGCCACGATGTCAGCTAACATGGAGTTCTTGCCGACCTTTTCCAAAGCTGCTAAGTGGGCGAAACCGGGCGCCTTGATTTTACACCTGGGAAAGGAATTGAGAGGGATTTGGAGGATATTTGGTAAAACGTCAAATTATATATGTTTTTTTTTCGTTAGGCAAATGATATGACTGAGGCTGTGCTCACAGATACACTACCTAACGATAACCGGTGCTTTTTGTATGGAGCATGATGACATATTTTTGACGATTTGAACCCAGCCTAAGTGAAGTAGAATGCAATAGGTTTTTTTTCATATATCTAATAAAATTTTACAGATAACATAAAAAAATTACGTCCGTCTAAATATTTAATCATGACTACATAATGACGTTCTTTTGACTGATCAAGAGCAAAACTAGCTGTTAGTTTAGCCTCGGCTATGCGAGATAATACTGCTGCGATTTTTGGGCAGAAGTCAAACACAAGTATATTTGCTGACCTGTGTTTCTCGGATATACCTCAGCAGCAGTTTTAAACGATTCTGGATTTTGTGTATATTGTGTACTTCCACTAATCTCTGCCCACGGTTAATAAGACTTTCGATCTATGGTTACGTAGACTCTCATCATCATTTCAGCCACAGGACGTCCACTGTTGAAAATAGGCCTCCCCAATGGTAGACTCTCACTGACATGTAAGTCCAAAATGCTATAAACAAAACTCACTAACCTGTATGGCTTGGAGCTACCGTCTGAGACGAGGTACACGCCAAACTCGCCCTTCGGCGCTTCGACCGCTGTGTAGGTGGCGCCGGGAGGCACCTGGTAGCCTTGCGTGAACAGCTTGAAGTGGTGGATCAGGGCTTCCATTGATGTCTGTGGAGAAAAAGTAAATTTGTCATCACCAGGTCATTAATTTGGTCTTCACTGCAGGAGCTGGTAAATGAGGGTTTTCGCGTATGAAAAATCCGCCAGATGGCAATACGTAGACGCGAGGTCCAAATGCTGCATGATTGGTTATTTTTGACATGACATTGACAGATATGTCAAAGTCCATCAATCACGCAGCAGTCAGACCCCACATCCACGTCTCGCCATCTAGCGGATCTTTTATTCGCGATAACCCTCATTCGCGTAGAACGATAAATTAGGGTTGTGACTGCAGCACTGACTATAGGGGTATTTTATTTATTAAGGTATACCAACAACATGGCACACAAAAAATTACCTAACAAACTTATTTAAAGAAACTTAAAGCAAAAAATATATGTCAGGTCATATTATTTGTTTGAAGGTCCTATTTTTCGGTTTTTCGCTTATATCTCGAATACTATTCGTCCTAGAGACATGATTGCGACAAGGTGCATGAAATTAAATATCGAGTTTATAAGTAAAACCATACCACGATCGTCATGTTAAACACGTCTTTCACGGTAGTCCTCGGGCTATAGCTGAAAATCAGCGGTTTGCTATAGGTATACCAATTGCTGAGTTATCGCCGTTTTGTTGTTGCGACATATATGACAGAATGAATATCCTTGGACAATATAAATAATAAATATCCTTGGACATTTTACACTGCGCTTCTATTCCCAAACTAAGCAAAGCTTGTACTATGGGTCCTAGACAACGGATATAAACATACTTAAATACGTTTTTTTATTGTAAATACATACAATTATTATATACATAGAAAACACCCAGTCCAATACAAACAAATATGTTCATGCACACAAATGTTTGTACTGTGCAGGAATCGAACCCGCTACCTCCGGAATAGTAGTCCGTTTCGAACCACTACACCAAACGGCCGAATGAGTGCCTATATGTATTTGTGTTGAACTTAAAAGTTAACACCTTAGTCTTGGGGGTATTGTGTCGAGGTTATTTTTGTCATTTACCCGACTACGCCAAAAGGAGGGTTATTTCTGTACGCTATTTACCTTCATCTCGGCGCGGGAGGGCGGCGTGAGCTTGGCGTCGTCGGTCTTGACCTCTCCAGGAGGCATCTGGTTGAGGCACTGCTGCTGAGCTATTGTCGCCTCTATTACAAGAGCAGTACGTCTCTACCGCCGTCATAATAGACCTGTGAAGACTGTTGTGCGATTGTGGACTATATCACAAGGCACTACAGACCTTCATCTCAGCGACAAGCCAGAGTAAGAATGGCGTCACCCGTCTATAGTCTGGTCTGCGAGCACTTAGAATTTGGTCCAATGACCCCAAGCTACCCATCCTTATCGCTCGCGCGTAATTATATTGCTGTCGCGACTGTGCGACGGGCGCCCGCAGTGAGTGTGCGAGCGTGACAGTAACATAATTACGCGCGAGTGATAAGGATGGGTAGCTTGGGGTCATTGGACAAAATTCTACGTGCTCACGGACCAGACTATAGACTCTATCACAAGGCAGTACAGACCTTCATTTCGGCGCGGTAGGGCCGGGTGTTTAGCATTATCTGTCTTGCGTCTTTCAGTTGAGCTATTGTCACCTCTATTGCATGAGGCTGTTAAGCTACTATGAACTCTATTACAAGGCAGTACAGACCTTCATCTCAGCGCGGGAGGGCGGCGTGAGCTTGGCGTCGTCGGTCTTGACCTCTCCAGGCGGCATCTGGTTGAGGCACTGCTCGATGATGCGCAGCGATTGACGCATCTCCTCCACTCGGCATAAGTACCTTTAACATAGAAACTAGAGATGAAACGGATATCCGGCAACTATCCGGTAGGCCGGATATCCGGCCTAAATTTACTATCCGGCCGGATACCGGATAGTAGCTCACTATCCGGCCGGATACCGGATATTAAAAAAACTACGAAAATTTCCTATAGTAAAATGAAACACATTAATCTTTGAGTCAAATATCAATAAAATGGCTTATAATATTTTAAAAGCTTACTGCCAGTCTCTTTACACGTGCAGCCTATGGGTCAGCTTTACCCAGCGCGCTTACAGCGCACTGCGTGTGCAGTACAACAATGCGTTCAGGGTGCTACTTGGCCTGCCGCGGTTCTGCAGCGCGTCAACCATGTTTGCGGAAGCGCACACCGACGGCTTCCACGCGATAATTCGGAAGCGGAGCGCATCGCTCCTAGAGCGTCTCCGCGGCAGTACAAATGGCATCCTGAGGGCATTGGCTGACAGGTGGGACTCGCCGCTGCTGGGGCGCTGGCTTAGCTTGCACGTCTCCAGTGCTATGTAAGCGGCTTCATATTTCATTATTTGTATCTTACTAACATAGGCTAAGTGAAAATTGTTACTAACACTATTATGGACCCCGGTCTGACAATAAATTTTTTCAATTCAATTCAATTCAATAATAATGACGGTTTTTATCTAAAGTCCAAAAAGTTACAAAAAAGCCATATTAAGGCCTTTCAAAAAACTGATTTCTTTTCTGGGCTATTCACTCTAATGACGAATACATAAATAGTAAATATATTTTAATGTCGAAATATTGCCAAATAAAATAGGCGATTTTTTTTTCACTGATGGTCTGATGACATACAGGGTGACTTTGAAATCGTTGGCATCCTTTTAATAAAAGACTACTCATGATACATGGTGCTCTTAAAAAGAGTTTGAAACTATTGTACATCAACAGCACATCATCCTATACATTTTGTTGCAAAATAACACTTAATACATTGAAATATGCGTGTCGTGACTCGTTATGCTTTGGCTCGAAGTTTTTTGTTGTGTACCGTCACATTATTTTTATTTTTGTTCGAATGTTGATAGTTTGATTTTGTTTGTAATTAGTTGTACACTCATTATGTCTAAATAATTTAAATTGAAATGTTTCTCAGGAAGTGAATTATTGTTAATTCTTATGAGAAATAAAGTTCTTAAACCGTAAATAAGATGCCACAATATGAAGATTTATGTGCTGTCGTCTGTACAATATTTCAAATATTGAAATTTTAATTCATTTGATATGACTCATATTTGGGGAATCATGATGGGAGTGGGATGTCCTGTGATGACAGTGTAGTGTTGTTGTCGTTGTAAATAAATAAAAAAAAATGAGTAGTCTTATTGTAAAAAGAATGCCAACGATTTCAAAGTCACCCTGTATAATGCAGTTCATTCAGATTACGCAGCAAGTAAACTAATTGAATTTTCGCTATTCAGTCACATACTCACGATGCATATGGCAACCGAAATCGCCCGAATTGCAAAATCTGACATTCTATTCGAACAAATTCGATTTTAGAAAAGTGTGACTTGTCTAGTCTACTAGACCTACTGATCGCGTCGTTCGAAGCACATGTGCAGCGCTAAACTCGTTACGACATGCAACATGACAATGGGACAACTATCCGGCCGCCGGATATCCGGCTATCCGGCCTAGCAGCTCGCCGGATATCCGGTATCCGGTATCCGGCCAAACAACTATCCGTTTCATCTCTAGTTCCTACGTAAAAATAATATAAGTTACTCAAAATTTCCTTGTTGGTAAAGAGGAAACGTATCAGGCTCGGACGATGCAGGACTTGTTTGACTAATTCATCCATATTCATTAATTCTCCATCTGTAAGAGGCAAAGAAAAACCATAAAGAAATATCCTATCCTCATGTGTCTCCTTTCGAGAATCCAAGAAGACCCTGTTTTTGTTAACTGAAAAAAAAATTGTTGAGTATGTTATTTGTATTCTCCTGTATACAATGAAGTTTCAGCATTTGTTTTAAATAAGTAAACGTACCAACCCTAGTGCTCCTCGAGCGGCGCAGGGCCTGCTTCGCAAAATCCTCCAAGTTTTGAAGTTTATTATTATTTTTCATCTGTAAAAGGCAAAGAAAAATCATAAAGAACGATCCTATCTTCATGAGTCTCCTTCCGAGGATCCACGAAGACCCTGTTTTTGTTTAATGAAGAATAATAAATAGATTAATAGTATTCTCCGGTCTGTAATGAAGTTCTCAAATTGTACCTTTTCTATTGATTGTTTCTTTTTCACTTTTTTAGATGTTATTGGAAATGGAAGTAGGTTTAAATGATTGCGTCACGTCACAAACAATAATTGTACTTTGATGAAAGTATTAAAAAATGTATTTACCCTCGAACTTCGTAAGCGCATAGTTTTTTGTAGCCGGTTGGCCGGTCAGGCCATCAAAAAATGATAGCTGTGAACTGCTGACATTTTTTGGACTCTCCTTCGACGCGTCTTCTGAGCCCGAGATATCCGAAGAACTCTGTCTCCAGGCTCGCGGGCTCCTGGGTCTCCCTTGGAGGGTCCATGAAGACCCTGTTTTTGTTTGCTGAAAAATAATAAATAGTTTAATATGGTATTATCCTGTCTGTATACAACGAAGTTTCAGCATTTTTTTTAATGAATAAACGTACCCACCAGCCCTAGTGCTCCTCGAGCGGCGGAGGGCCTGCTTGGCAATATCTTCCAAGCTGAGAGGAGGTTTGTTAAATATTATTCTTCATCTGTAAAAGGCAAATAAAAATCATAAATAACTGAATAAAAATTGGGCAAGTGCGTGTCGTGCCACGCGCAGTGTAGGGTTCCGTAGTTGTCCGTCGTTGTTACCCTCAGATCATAGAAAGAGAATAGATATGAAGTCGCGCGTAACTACAACGAGAACCAGTGTCCCCACATTTCCCCCACCACAGCTCCCACACACACATTCAACTGTGTAAAAACAAAGCGACTGAGAGTCTACGACAACATGTGCAACCGGCTTAAGTGCTGTGATTGGCCAGAAGGCATGCCTTATGGCCAATCAATGGCCGCGTGACGTGACGCACACTAAGAAAACGCTAGTGAGAGAACAAAGATAAAATGGAGTCGACAAGATATCGATACTTTAAATCGCTAGGGGCAAGGATCGAAACTGATTTCACTAAATGCTTATGTATGAAAACCTTTTTATTATTATACGTTATTATTAACTACTATAACGCATTTACTTTTTACAAGCTTTTTATTACTTTCACATGTCTGGTGTCTGTCGTCAAATCTTGCAACTTAAAATTGACCCACTTCCCGGTTTTCTATTGAGCTGGAATTTTGTTAATTATGGCGATCTGCGTACCGCATATGTTTATCAAAAATAATGCCTATATTAGGCTTTCAACTAGCTCTTATAGTAATTACATAGTTGACAGTTACTAATTTAAGTTAATGTATTATTATAAAATTTATTCTCTAATAAATAAAGAAAGAGGCTTCTACTGTTTTTTTTTTTTTTTGTAAAATCTTATAATCGCAAGTAACACATCATTTTTTTATTTAAAATTACAAAATAGAAAATTATAATTTACTTCTATTTATCGATAATAGGAAACCGCATTAGAACACGAGCACGGCACTATGTTACGACCGGCACATGCGGCCGTACTGTGTATTTTCACACGACAGTGGATATCGGAAGAAATTAAATACATTGCGCAGTAGTTGAGCATGACATAAAGTGGTTGCTAACTAAATCGTCAATGTACAAGTGTATTAGAATTTTTATCACCACTGATTTCGATATCGCAGTAACTGTTACGGCACTGAATTCGTTCGTAAAAATGTTTAGTTTTTTTTATTTATAAGCTAAATACCAATGGATTTGCAATACTTACATGTAGTAAATGACTCCATTGTTCCTGTAGTTCTTCGTTTCACTTGTTTTATTGCACGTAACGACGCATTATCCAAAATATCGGAGAACATTTCCTTAGTACGACTGAATCGCGACTAACCTAGCTACGCTGCCGATGTTCGTTTCTGGGCATGTCGCGGAGACACGCGCCACGCCCCCGTTTCACATCTATTCCCTTCTATGATCTGAGTTGTTACCACAATACTATATTAATTCAGAAGCAAGCAATTACTCCATCTGAAGTCACTTTTCATATTTTCTTCTAAGGATTTTTTACTGGTTAAGAAATTTTATAATACATGAGTCAAATGACTATTACTCTTATTATAGTTTAGTTTTTAGAGGGGGGGGGGGTTCCTTGTCAGGACTACGGAACCCTAAAAATGGGCAGGCATGATCATATAAATAAGAAAGAATGCCTGAAGAATTTATTTTCAAGTTTAATGCATTTTCCCGTAGATGAATTTATCAAACTTATGAAGGTTGAATTTTGGAAATAAGGCAATTATCGGCAATGTCGTTGTTCCCTACTTCTTCCTAAACAGGACTCTTAAGGCCGCCCGGTTAGATACTTCTAGGATTTGCGATACGACATACGAAGGATAGGTACGACGACGAAGTTTCACCGTTAGCAACAAACACTCCACCTTATTTATTTATTTATTTAAAAACTTTATATTGCACTCAAAATAAAAAGCAGTACAAAAAGGCGAACTTAATGCCATATGGCATTCTCTACCAGCTAACCTTAGGTTAGGCAAAGCAGCATAACAGTTATTTTACTTCTCTTTTTCTATTTGAAAGTCCGTGGCTTTTGATATTATGTTGGTTTTTTCATTTTTGTCTTGTTGGTCTTTTCACGGAGAAAAAAACCTGAGTATTTCATGTGAATTTCAGATTGATATGTCCACGCGTTCTTGAGATAAAGGGTAAAGGATAATAGGAAACCGCATTAGAACACGAGCGCGGCACTATCTTACGACCGGCACATGCGGCCGTACTGTGTATTTTCACACGACAGTGGATATCGGAAGAAATTAAATACATTGCGCAGTAGTTGAGCATGACATAAAGTGGTTGCTAACTAAATCGTCAATGTACAAGTGTATTAGAATTTTTATCACCACTGATTTCGATATCGCAGTAACTGTTACGGCACTGAATTCGTTCGTAAAAATGTTTAGTTTTTTTTATTTATAAGCTAAATACCAATGGATTTGCAATACTTACATGTAGTAAATGACTCCATTGTTCCTGTAGTTCTTCGTTTCACTTGTTTTATTGCACGTAACGACGCATTATCCAAAATATCGGAGAACATTTCCTTAGTACGACTGAATCGCGACTAACCTAGCTACGCGGCCGATGTTCGTTTCTGGGCATGTCGCGGAGACACGCGCCACGCCCCCTTTTCACATCTATTCCCTTCTATGATCTGAGGTCTTGACAGACAGACAGAAGACGGACAACAAAGTGATCCTATAAGGGTTCCGTTTTTTCCTTTTGAGGTACGGAACCCTAAAAATTACTGTGGTGGGTAGGTAGGTAAATAAGTAATCCGTTTCTGCTTATGATTTTAATTCCTACATAATTTGTAAGTATGTACAATTATTTAAATTCTGTGTAAAATGGGTCATTATTAAAATTGTTTTATTGAGACAAGTTTGAAAGATAAAATAATTCCACCAAACCAATAAATTGTTAAAAAAAGTTTGAGTCTCAATCAAAATGTTACTTTTCTTGGCAAATTCTATTAGCCAACCAGAATTTAAAGATTGACGCTCTGGCCATTCTATTGGTCAATAGAAGGAGTGACAAAATTATCCACAGAATAAGAGTGACAAGTGTAAACTACTAAGTGTGAATGACTACACAGTAAAAGCACGCCATCTATATTTCTAAATTAGAATTAAAATAAATAGATCTGCTGTTGCCGAAAATTGATGAATGTATTGTATTAACTGAATTTATCGAAAACCATACTTACATAGATGAATTTAGTCAACATTATTGTCTGTTCTGGGAGAGAAACTAAAAGCCAGGTATTTTAGAAATCAATTCAGACTTTTACCTTTTGATCCATTCGTGTTAATAGAACAAATGTATAGAAATCAAGACAACTCAATATTACAAAAACACTATTTAAAACAACATGGTGTACTTATTACCTACTTAGACAATGATTAATCTTAGAAGGGTGCAGTAATTTACTACTGTCTTTTGTTTCAAATCAAACTGAAGCTCAGTTCAAAAAATAAAAATATATTTATGCAAAATAAAAAAGCGCTATAAATAAAGCGCTTTCTAATATTTAGTGTTTAATAGTTAAGCGAGCGAACAACCGCCATTTTATTGTAAACAGCACCATCTATTAAACTGATCATGAACTAGTTCACAAACGTTACCTCTAAGAACGTTGGAAACTAGTTCATGACCATTAATATAGATGGCGCTGCTTTAAATGACAATTATCTACTCTTCTTGCCTGCCTGACGGCTGACACGGATTTCAATTAATTTCAAAAGAAAGAAGACGTCATTCGAAAAATGTGTGTTGGATTGGAAGGTTGATAAAGTTGTGTTTTGTTGATTGCTACGAATTATGCAATTAAATTGTGATAGTTACGTGTGATTTGTTGTTGCAACAGACAATCTAAAATGTCTCACGATACAGACTTGTTGATATCAGTGCCACGTTCGTGTATAGCTGAATTTTACAATAAATATCTGAATCTAGTTGAAACTTTTTACTATGTCACTTTAACAGAGAACAAATCTGCCTTCTGTAAAGAGAAACCTGAATATGTGTACTTCAATGTGATTTTTAACTTGAACCCAGCTGATGGAAGCTACAATCCTCGGGAGTTGGTTGTTCGAATACAGGTTAGTGTAAAATATTATTAGTTACCTCCTCAATCCAATTATTGAGCCTACCCATTTACCGTATTGACTAATTGCCGTCAGAAAACAAAGAAATTAATTTTGAATATTTTTCTGACACTAAATGCATTTATTTTGTTGTCAATAATGATTCCTTTGTATAACTAATTATGTATTGAAATTCTCAATGTGTATGTTAGCATATGTTTTTATCATTAGGTAGGTATTATTATTCGCCAATGTAAATATTCAACTAGCACAATTTAGAAAATTTTTCAATTAGATCTATTCCTCATGCAATAGATAGATAATTAAGTACCTACCACCTACCTAACCTACCTAGACTTAAAATTTTTAAGTCAACTTCATGGAAATAAGCAATTAATAATAATAAGTAAAGAAATAACAATTGGTTCGGCACAAGTCGGTAATGGTTGGAATGAAATTACAACTCTACAAGTTTGCTGTAGAATATTATCACTGACGATTACAAAAACAACGCTTGTATTTTATTATCTAAATAGGAACATACACAAGGATCTCATGTGTTCTGGTATTCATCAATAGTTTGTCCAAGCGATTTTATATTCGCAATTGTTTTTCACATCATTTGTCTGCCTGATTGTGGATAACTTTTTTAAGAAAGCTAGGTAGGTATAACAAATAATTATGTGTTTTCATGAAACATTTCTGACATTCTTCTTACTTTTCCCTAGCCCTTTTCCCATTATTTGGAGTCTGCTCCTTGTTCTGTTGAATACATTTTTGACATTATGAAATAAATGCTATGATAAGTGCTAATAATAATATTTATTATAGCTTTACAATCCACAATTAAACAGTTTTATTTAATTAATCTGTATTTCCCTTGATTGTGGCCCCACTTGGGTAAAAGCCTCCTCCATCACTTTCCATTTTTCCCTGTTGCTACAATGTCTCTGTTATACATATATTGTATGAATGAATACCTGATTAGAGACTGATAGACAGTTCCACACTCTAAAAAATTGTTCTTAGTTGGTTCAACTTACTACTTAATAAATAGGTACTTAAACATAAACGATAGTAAAGTTTGTTTGGTAGGGACTCAATAAAAAATATGAATAGCTATGATAATAAATCCTGGCCTGCCAAACATAAAGTGTTCCAAAATTGAAAATCGTCGTCATAGGCGGATGCGTCCGCAAAGACGATTTTCGTTTTGGTGGCAGAGGCAGGGCCGGATTAACCATCTCGGGGCCCCTAGGCACAGCTCCTTTTGGGCCCCCCTTTTTTTTGTCGCGGAGGATATGATTTGCGCACCGTCACCACTGCCGGGGGACAGGGTGGTGTGTGGGACTCCCGGCGCCCTAAAAAGGGAAAAGGACGGGCTAAAACCTCCGCGGCGTTCTGTCGTAGCCCGAGTGGGGGTGTCGCGAGTATCCGGCCGTAGCCTTAGACTTCCGCGACACCACGCTACAGCGACAGCTCGCCTACACGGCGGACCCTACACGCCCCCCTTGTGGGGGTCCGACGGGAATGCCCGAAACGCCAAGCCGTTCCCGTCAGACGGAGGTGACAACGGTGCCCCCGCACCCCCGGCCTGCTGGCCGCCACCTGGGGGCAGAGTAGAACGGTCGTACAACCGCCTTCTGATGGAGCGAGAGACGGAGCGATGGGGCGAGAGGATCGTTCTCCCGCTCGCGCTCCGCTGCCTTCTTCTGAAGGATGACCTCTTCGCAAAAGGAGGCGACCACCTTTCAGTATCCTTCACTTCCCAGCATGGCGATGACCAGGCTCGGAAGCGAAAGATCCCGGCCCACGACCGCAGTGAGGACACGGCGCTGCTCCTCCCAGCCTGTGCAGACCGCGAGGGTGTGCTGCACCGTGTCATCCGCCGCGCCGCATTTGTGGCACACGGGGATTCCTGTCGCCCGATTCTATGCAGGTACGAACCGAAGCAGCCATGCCCGGTCAGCACCTGCGCCAGACGGAACGTGAGGAACCCGTGCGGTCGTACCGTGCAGAACAGNCTTTTTTTATTATTTTCTATTGACGTTCATAAGTGCCACTTGTGGTCTAAACTGAATAAATATTTTTTGATTTTGATTTTGACTAATGTGCCGCCCGCCGACGCCAGCCGTGCCGCGGCCCCAAATGTCTTCTTCGGGCAGTGACCAGAGTGTCATCCGCATAGCATGTGACACTCATGCCCGCGAGTAGGACGCCCCGGAGGAGCCAGTTGAAGCCTAGGTTCCACAAGAGTGGACCGAGCACCGAACCCTGCGGAACCCCGCTGGCTACGCCGCGCCGTTTTAGCTGGCCGTCTCTGTTAACATACAGGACTTCGCGGTCCCGTAAGTAATCGCCCAGCAGCGCTCAAACGTACTGAGGCACTCTGTGATGTTGAAGTGCCTAGAGTATGGTGGGATAAGGGATGGTATTGAAAGCGTTGGCTATATCGAATGATACAGCCAACACACCCTCAGCCCTCCCCCTAGCCTCCACAGTGAGGCTTTTTAGCCTCTGAAGGGCGTCAACCGTCGACCTGTCATGTAAACCAAAGCAGTAATGCCAACGTCACGAAAACTTATTAGGTTCCACAGTATCGAAATATGACGATTGAATGTGTAAACCAAAATAAGGCGAAGTTTTGAGGTGGTTTGAGTTTTGTTGCATAAAAATAATCTTTAACATTTTTTTTTTTCATTTTTTTATCGGGAGTGCTGGGCCCCAGGTCATAGTGGGCCCCTGGCCATAGTGGGCCCCTAGGCACTGGCCTAAAGTGCCTTATGGATAATACGGCACTGGGCAGAGGTCAACACTGCGCGGTGTTTGGGGGCCACCGGGTGCAGTGGGCGCGCAACCCGGATCTCGCTGCCCCGCTTCCCCTTCACTGGGCCCGTGTAGGGTTGCCAGGTCCAAAATCACAAAAGCCGGACTTTGTGTTTCATTTGGCCGGACATTTTACCCTAAAAGCCGGACATGTGACGGGGGGTGGGTGCAATTAGTGTCAGCTCATGAGTGAGTACTATCATCATCGGTTGCTAACCAACATCCTGATGCGTGCGCTTCATATGATTCTGTGGCTCGACTTTCGCCTGGCGCGGCAACCAAATAAAAAGCCGGACAGGCCGAACAAGGCAATATTTGGCCGGACAAGACCCTAAAAAGCCAAACATGTCCGGCTAAAGCCGGAGGCCTGGCAACCCTAGGCCCGTGCGTGGAGGTGCGCTGGCGGCTGGCGCACTCGCGGCCGCAGCACATGCTCGCTAGCTCCCACCCAGTAGTCTTGCCGCGACGCAGCGCGCTCGCACACGCGCGTCATGCCATGAGACGCGCGCACGCAATCACACTCTATTATGTACGCGATCGACACCCAGGTGAGCGCGACGATAGTTCCCGATAGGATCTCTCTCGCCGACCACACACGGATCTCCGCGAGACGATCGCATCGTAACGATGTTCATTCACAACCGATATAACGATCCCGGAAGTGAAGCCGGTTCGTTAACGTCACGTATGCTAATTACCGTCGACGGTGCGCGCGTACTCACAAAAATATACAATATTTCGATTAAAATTTTACCATTGTCCTGAAAAGTGAAACTGCGAAACATTTGAAAAGTTCGTGCATTGTTTCGCAGCCGAGGGCCTGTAGTTGTCTTGTCAATTATGCGCGAATAATTAGTATTACCGGTTTTTATAAGATCAGTGAAGCTGTCATGATTAATTATTCCTTCTTAGCATACCGTCACGGTTGGATCGAGTTGCTGTGATGTGAATGTGGTAGTCAGTGTCGTTGTTTTTGCAACGTTATTTACAATGTTGTTTTTGTATTGTGAAAGTTGTGAAGATTAGAGGTGTAATTAATGTGTATGTCTTCATCTGCCGCCGCTAAGTGTCGCAGGTCCGGCGCTGCTCGGTATCGGCAGACTTTCACTTCGCCACCGAGAACACCAGTGATTTATATTACCTAATTCGTTATCCAAGCCATCTGATCACGGATTTGAGTTTAATAGCTCCACCTAAATGTTTTTCTAATGTATTTCCTTGAATTCTCCATCCCATTAATGAACTTGTTTTGTATCCTACTAATTGTTCTGGTTAATCGTTAAGGAGTATGCTTCCGTCAACAAATCAACAATAGTATTAGTTTGAAATAGGACATCAGAATCTTTTCGCTTATGAGCTGAGATTACCAGTATAAATCCGCTTGCTAATATTTCTGATCAACCGCATCGGATGGTATCTTGATAAATTGCTATTGGACACAAAAACAAAGGTTTAGTAGATGAACATGATAAGATTTTTTAATAACCAGAGTCAGACACTTGAACCTTAAATAAACCATTAAAGTGTCAATCGATTGAAAGATTCCCACAAGCCCAAAGCTCACAAGTTCAGAAGGTATGACGAGACTATAGTTTCTTTAATGTTCATCCTTCCTCTTAAGTTCTTGAATTGGTTTTCCAAAGAGACACGACAGCCAAGAAAGCTAAGCGAAGGTTGCGCGTACGCCTCACGGATGTTCCTCAGGTAAACAAACAGTAGATTATGTATATTTATACGTCAATCGGTCAACGTTTCAAACCACTCGGCTTGTTTAAGATAACAGCTTCATTCTTAAAATCCATATCAATAAATCGATTTTGATCCTGTTATGTATTTCGCTCTAATCTTAGTCTCATTACTTATTAGAATTTTTAGAAGTAAACAAGTACCTACTTGAAAAAGTGTCAAAGACTGCTGTATACAATTTTCTAGTTACTTTTCATAATAAATTCTCTTTCTGGCATAATAACTTCCAATAAGACAATCCCCCATCAGTGAGTCATTTATTAGAGGTAAACAATAAAATGGGTAATAAGGAAAATACGAAATTTCCGCCATTAGCAGACCATCAGCGACAACATAGACCTAATCCTTTGATAAAACATTCTACGTGGGAATATTCTAATTGGAACTACGTACTGAGATAAACTATAATAGGAATCAAAGACCAACCCTGGACTGAACTACTA